GCCGGGTAGAACGGGGCTGGTGGCGTCGGCGGCGGCGGGTAGACCGGGTAGGCTTGGGTGCTGCCCGAGCACGCCGGCGGCGTTGGGAGGGACCTAGCCGGAGCGCGGAGACGGGATCGCCATCCCATACGGCGCGAAGTAGCCGGTGTACGGGGAGAGCGGTACCTGCTGATGCTGGCCGCGACCCCCGTTGTCGTTGCGTTCACGGCCACGGCCACGGCCGTGCCCGCGGCCACGGTCACCGCCTTCGCCAGGACGGTCACCCCGCGACCAAGGGCGGGAGCCGGCGGGGGAGGGGCGCCAGGAGCGCCGTCGTTGGAGCGATCCGTGGGGCGATCGTGGCTCGGACGGCCACCGCCGCTGGAGCTGCCGCCCGAGGAACCACCGCCAGGCAGAGCAAAGGCGGAGGCGCTCTCCTCAGCCGCGCACTGCACCTGGGACTCCTTAGCCAGGACGACGCGGGAGAGGACGGTGTCGAAGGGGAGACCCTGATCGCCGAGGACGACGCGGATGGTGTCGAGGCGTTTGTCCAAGCCATGGAGAAACTGAGTGGTGAGATCCACCTCGGTGATGGCATGATTGATATCCGCGAGGGCATCGGTGAGGAGTTTCATGCGGCGGGCGTAGTCAGACAAGGAAAGATTGCCCTGCTTGAGGTTGCGATACTGGCGATTAAGGATCATGAACCGAGCGTCACAGTTTGCAAGGAAGAAGGCCTGGATCTTGTGCCAGAGAGCATATGTGGTGGTGGCGCCGCCGACGTGGTCACACATGATGTCGGAGAGAGTGGCATAGATCCACAGGGCGATATGGGCGTTCAGCTCGAGGTATTGGGGGGTGGCATTGGGTGGTGGTGGATGCTCAATGAGGTAGGTGATGCCGTAGCGAACGAGGACCATGAGGAAGACGGTCTTCCACTTGTGGTAGTTGTGATCGACAGGATTAAGGAGAAATTTGATGTGGTTGGTGATGTGATCGTGATAGATGGAATCGCTGGGGGTTGGAGCAGGCGGCGTGGAGGGGGTAGGAGCGCCAGAGGAGAAGATGGGGGCGAATTTGGAGCCCGAAGAGGTGGAAGAGCCGCTGAAGAGCGAAGGGTTTGTGCCGAAGACGAACGGCGGGGAGGTCGCTGCCGTGGTGGCCGGGGCGGTGGGGGCGCTCAGCGCCGAAGAAGAGAAAGAGCCCGACGAGGTGGCGGCGGAGGTGGAGGATTCGGTAGCCATGGAGGCGGCTGGTGTCTGATACCAAGTTGGACAGATTATCACTGGTCCCTTGCATTGATCTGGTTATAGAGTACAACTTATACACGAGAGAAGAGGGAGGCGTGCTCGAGAGAGTCGGCACGCAGGCCTTGGGCGATCGTTACAGATCCTATACTCTAGGGTGTGTACATGAGTTACAATACAGTACAAATACAATCTAACAGGAAATGTATCCCGTATGGGCACAATATTTGTCTCAGCAAGAACATATGCTGCATTGGGTGTACTTCGATTCCATACAAGGTAGTTTGCGATCTCTGTTCTACAACCGGAAGTGATGGAGACGAAGATGTAATCCGTAGTTCACACCCTTGAGAGAGTGCTAATCTTCGTTGGAGAGGTGGGAGACAACAAATGCTCCCACGACAACGAATGTCTCACCCAAGCCTCCTAGTACCTCGGTAAACAAATGCCGAAGTACCCTCTCACTAGGGGTAGCTCTTGGGGCGAGCTCCAAACCCTCGCATACGAGCTTGGGGCACAACCACACAACTTGGAAGTTCCCAAGAAACACCAACCGTCTAGGATTCCCCACAAACCCAAAAGTAACAGGATTCATGAAGGATCTCGTGAGGAGTCAACAAACTCGATTTTTGCTTTGCTGGAGTTTTAGATCGGGATGTCCTCTTGCTCTCCCTGAAAGTGTAGGTGCAATGAAGGGCTAGGGAGGGAGACCTCAAGCTTTTGAGGCGTTTAACAATGGTGGAGAGTGAGTGAAAGTTGTCACCTTCTTCGTGGGGAAAAAGATGCCTTTTGTAGGCTATCCCTAATTTTGCCGGTTATGCTGCTAGTCTGGTAAGCTTGGAGGGCCCGGGAGGCCTTCGAGGTGCATCTGAGCGAAAACGTAACTCATCTATATTCGGTCGGAGGCAGGTAGGGACCACTCTGAGGGTTGAAGAACTTGGAGGCTCCCGGAGACCTTGGAGGTTTCAAACCTCAACATAAGTTTTATGTGTTTGGCTTACAGACCACCCGGATAGTCCGAGGCTCACCTGAGGGGAAACACTCAACATTTTAGGGCTCTCTTTCATAGGATGTGGGTGTTTTTGGCTTGCTTTTGGTTTGTTGATTCCCATACCTAGATCCATGGCGTATCCTCTCTTTATAGTACGACATACATACGACTCAAAAACAAGAAACGGCGGTAGAAAATTGACGTGTTGTCTTCTTTTATCCTTTTTGCTTATGGGGTTGCTGGCCAACTTTATCTTTCATTTTGAAAGGTCCTGTGTAACCACTCGAAACATAGTTTAATTTAACCACAATATGCCATTAACACCAAAAGCCTCATTAGGGGCAAGATGTACAATATGCTTAGTTTAATTTAACCACAATATTATGATATTGATCAATAATGGTTCTAAGAGTTATAAGTTGAGCTCCGTGCACTCTGATAAATCTTTCCGTTTGAATGATCATAAGATGCAAACCTCATTAGGGGCATAGTTCACAACCTCATCATCATTTGGCTCAACATAGATTGGAGTGCGATAACCGGCAACCCACTTTGTCCTAGGAGCACGACGAGTACTCCCAGACCCATGTCCTTCCTCCAACGAACCATGAGTTTTCCTCACAAAGAACTGCTCACTGTTGCCCTTGTGATTCTTTGCCCTAGCATCCCCAACATGGCCATCTGAACCTATGAAAAGCATGGGATACAATAGTATATGATAAATGGAGGGGGTGGTGCTCTCTAGGCCGTCAGCGGAAGCCAAAAGAGGCTGCTTAAAATAAATGGAGGTGCTCTCGTGACACCCAGGAGATCCGGTATAAATTCGGAGATCCTGGTGCCTTGGAATTCCGACTTCCCACGCCTGGAGCTCTGGGGTAGCTAAAACAGCTGCCTTTTCCTTGACGAATCCGGGTAGAGGGAGTTGGCCCCGGCTATGCTGGAGCACCCAAATCATCTCTCATTGCAAAGTATGAAGATTTTGTGGCCTAAGAGCAACTCCAATGGGGCGACCCATTTGGTCTGCCACCGTTCGCTTGGGTCGACGCAGACAAAAGTGATGGCCCAATGCACGCCGGAGCAGCGTCGCGACCCCGCCTACGCAACTGACTCTCCCGCTTGGGAGGTCTGGTTCGCGTTCGAGCACGAGGAGGCCAGGAGGCGCGGCGTCCACGACGTGCGGCATGGCTCCCCGCCGCCGCCCCTTGTCGTGCGCGACGAGGACCAGGAGGCGGAGGCCGCCTACTAGGCGGCGCTGGCGGCTGCCCTCCAGGAAAGCGAGGAGGACGAGCGGCGCAAGGCGGCGGAGGAAGAGGCGGCGTACCAAGCACGCATGGCGGAGGCATGGTGCTCTTCGCTTCGGGCGACTGCATCGTGCCGCCATTGAGGCCGCCGTCCCCCGTCAAGGCCGAGGCGGCGCCGACCCCCATCAAGCTGGAGAGCTACTCATGGAACGGGGTGGTGCGCGAGTGGGTCAGCGTGCCACCCATCTGGCTTGGGGCGACGCCGGCGCAGGAGCAGCTCTACCTCGAGCAATGGCGGTAGCAAAGGCTCGCCGAGGAGCACCGCGAGGGCGAGTACCTCGAGCAGCTAGAGCGCGACGCAGAGGAGCGCCTTGCCAGCAGTGGTACAGCCAGCGGCGGATGACGTCGCTACAGCCTGGGCGACAACGTTCCCCTAGGCTGGCCTGGCGCCGACGCCATCGACCTCACCGCCCCCCGTCGACGACGACGAGGACACCTAGGGCAGCACGCCTCCTCGTAGTTTTTTAGTTTTATTTTATGTTTTAATTAATGTAAAAGTGGACTCGTGGACTCTCGTCAAGTCCGGCATTAATGTTTAATTAATGTTTTTATTTTCCAAAATGTTTGCGGCATTTTTATCGCGCGACCTAAAAAATGGGTCGGGCCAGCGTTGGGCGCAAGCGCCGACGCAAACGCGAAAGCGGACATGGGTGTCCGCCGGGCCGACCCAAACGGACAAAATTGCCGTCCATTTGGGTTGGCGCATTGGAGTTGCTCTAAAAGGATCTATCCTGTAGAATATCGCAAGTCCTATCTATAAACTACGAATTAACGCAACAGGGATTCAAAATTGAGAGGAGAAAACAATGCATTACCTGAGGAGATCGACATCCTTGCCCTAACTTGGTGGAGGATGGTTTCTACGACGTTTCCCGGACGGTAGGTACCGGAGAACGATGAAATCAGAGGTCCTCCATGTGGAGGAAGAAGATGGGTGGCATCTAGCGCAGCATGTTGAAGTAGTTCCTTTAACACTAGTGTTGTACACGATTGATCTGAGCTGTTATAACTCAATTGTACTGACTCGACAGCAAATATTTTTCTACTCCTATGGGCCTGAGTTAATCTGGGACATTATAGTTTGGTCCCACTAGACATGTGACTTATACTCCCTCCGTTCCACAATGTAGTGCCTATAATTTTTTTGAGAAGTCAAACTTTACAAACTTTGACCGAGTTTATAAAGGAAAACATGTGCATCTAGAATATCAAACACGTATCATTAGATACATCGTGTGATGTATTTTCATATTAATATATATTTGGTATTGTAGATATAAATACTTTTCTCTATGAACTTGGTCAAAGTTTGACTTTTCAAAAAATCTGTATGTACTACATTATGGAACGGAGGGAGTATAATTTTTCTATTCCTCCGACTAGTGTGTGAACTTTAAAGGTTTGCAATTAGTAGAGTAATAGATCTGTAGAAGTCTTCACTGATGCCATTTCATTTGTTTTCGTCTTCATTTTTGCTACCAGTTTTAAGAAGTTGGTAACATCATTGGAACAAGAGGTTACACATTGCGGTGCTGAAATATCATCAGAAAATTTACATACTTCTGAAGCGATGGAATCTGAGGAATCGGAAGGGTATATCTCGACTAAAGTTGCTCGCTTGTTTGACCAAGGTGGGCATCTTAAACCTGAAGTACTGAAGCAGTACTTATTTGCTGGGGAGCGTTTCTACCAAAGGTCCAGTGAACTCGACAAAGAAATCTGTGGCTTTGAGGCATCCATCAAAAGGCCTTTTTTTCATGTCAAGCCACTTGATGATGACCAACTTGAAAACTGGAACCTGTATCTTGACTTTGTTGAGAAGAATGGCGATTTTGATTGGGTATTTTTATTCTTGTACTTGTTTTTTTGTGCAGAAGTCTAGCTGCATCGTCTGTGCTAGCATATGATTATATCTCGCTCTTGGCCTCTCATTTGCAGGCTGTAAAACTTTATGAGAGATGCTTGATCCCCTGCGCTAATTATTCTGAGTTTTGGATTCGCTATGCTGAGTATGTTGATGCCAAAGGTGGCAGAGAGATTGCAAACTATGCTCTTGGTCGAGCCTCGTCGTGTTTTGTGAAGGTATCATCGATTGGAATACTATTTGTTTGATACATCTATTATTATTATCATTATTAGTAGCAGTAGCAGCTTGTATAAGGAACTTATATTCTTCTGTATCGACTTGCTTTGCCAAGTACATCGAAGGCGGCAGAACCACTTGTGTTACATCTCCCAGACGCATGCATAATTCCCTTGATTCTGCTGTTTCTAAAATCGTTGGAAGATAGCCCTTTAAAATAAGAACCTGAAGTTTTTAGAACAGCTATAGCCTACATAGAAAGGAAATTCATACATTGTGCTGTAGACTTTTCATCTCAAAGTTCACTGTTCCCTCCAGAGGCATTTTCTTTGCCTTGTAATCTGTACTTTTTACTTTTCAGCACTTATTTGATTGCCTAGTCAGTAGTCACCGTTATGCTGTTTCCATATCTGTTCATGTGCACTGGATTAATTACTTCTTTTTGCTTAATCTTAATGATAAATTGATGTTGAACCGGTATGGGCCCAAGCCCATCAAGCCTTGTCACTTAGGGCCCAAGCCCATGTGGAGGTACTGACCTAGAAGGAGGCATCCAGTCCTCCCGTTCTCAGGAGAGCCGCCACACACACATACGACACATCCAAAACAAGGTGAGTCTGCGACACAACATGGTATCAGACGCAGGCGAGGTGCTGGGGACGACGGCGACGGTGGCCTAGTCGCCGGCCGGCGGCGGAGTCCGGTGGGGAGGCGGCGGCGCATCTGGGCGGACGTGGCTGTGTGCGAGCGCGCGCGTGCGGCTGCGCGTCACGGCGGCGAGCGCACGGCGGCTGCGCGGGCCAGCGGGAAATCAACGGCGGCTGTGCGCGTGGAGGCGTGCGGCTGTGGCGCAGGACGAGGAGAAGAGCCGGAGGAACAGCGAACGTGGAGAGCAGGAGAGGCGTGCTGCTGTCGTTCGCGCGGAGGGAGAGAGCGAGTCCGCACGGCTCTGCTCGTTGCCGTTGTGTCCTGGCTGCTGGGATTGAAGAAGAGGAAGGTGCTGCTTATTGTTGCTGCTGCGCGTGCGGAGTGTGAGCAGAGGGGGAGAAAGAACAGAGGGCCTTGCTGTATGTGTGCAGCGGACTGTTGCTGCTGATTCTGCAGAGGACTGTGTGCGGCTGTGCTTGCTGCTGTTGTTGTTGGGTGTGTAGAGCCTGTCTCCGAAGATGAGTGAGCCAACAGGCCTTGCTGAAGCTTTCGAGAAGCTAGCTAAGTTCCTCGAGGAGTCGAAATCTGGGGCCATCGTTCCTCGACAGGAAGTGGCTCAGAAGATCGAACTGTCACCCATGGACATGTAGTTAGAGGGGACTACCAATTATCTGAGCTGGTCCCGGAGGGCGTTGCTGGCTGTGGAACAGAAGGAGCTTGATGGGCACTTGTTGGGTGTTGTTGCTGAACCAGGAGACAAGACTACTGTGGAGGGAAAGAGATGGAAGGTCATAAACTCTATGCTCATTGGCTGGTTGTTGAACTCGGTAGTGCCCCCCATTGGACGCTCTGTGGAGGGGCTATCCACATCCGCTGCGATATGGACGACTCTGTCCACTTTGTACTCAGGCAAGGGCAATGTCATGCTAATTGCTCAGATTGAGGGGAAGATCAGTCGGTTGCATCAAGTTGACGACATGTCAGTGATGGCATATGTGGCAGAGCTGCAGGCTCTGTGGGCAGAGCAGGATAACTGCGACCCTCTGGAACTCTATGATGCGGCTTGCATCGAGTCAGGGCGCAAGTGGATTGCACGCAGGCGTGTGCTGAAACTGTTGGAGGGTCTTAGAGGTTGCTTTCATGGCAGGAGGGCTTCCCTGTTGCACCAACCTCTTCTGCCCTCTATTGAGGAGGCTATTGCTGCAATGTCTCAAGAGGAGGTGCGGCTATCTCTTGAGCATGCAGACATGAAGGCTGTGCCGGCTTCGACATTTGCAGTCACTGAGCGCATGGAGTGGAGCGATCCCAACAAATGTCATATCTGTGGGGAGATAGGTCACTGGAAGTGGGCCTGTCCAACTCGTGGCAGAGGCAGGGGATACAACAGAGGGGGAACTGGCAGAGGCAGGAGTAGAGGCAGAGGTGGATACTCAGGGACCTCAAGGGGTCAGGCTTCTATGGGCAGAGGTGGTTACTCAGGACACTCAGGAGATCAGAGGGCTCACATGGCAGTGGCAGGAGACACTGGGACGTCAAAAGGCAAAGATGCAGACGATGCTAACTATGGAGACTTTGCTCTCTGGGTCTCCACTGATGAAGGTAATCCGGAAAAGGCATCTCTTGCTTCTAATGAGAGTGCTCCAGAGTGGGTTCTTGACTCTGGAGCATCTAAGCATGTTGCTAGTAAATCCTGCATGTTTGAGTCTTACAATAAGCACCCTCCATCTCACACGCGCACTATGCAAACTGTTGATGGCACAAACCAGCCTGTCATGGGGGTTGGCACAGTCAAGTGCACTCCGACCATCTCCCTATCCTCAGTTTTACATGTGCCGGCTTTTCCTGTCAATTTGGTCTCTTTCAGTGCTCTAATTGATCAAATTGACTGTCGTGTGATCCTTGACAAATTCGGGTGCGTGATTCAGGAGCGACAGACGAGTCAGACGGTTGGGACTGACACCAGGCGTAGGGGGCTCTGGTACATGGACCAGGAGGTGCAGCCGGACTTGGTGTGTGCTGCGACCATGGAGGACAAGGAGAAGGAGGCGATGATCCATCACTATAGGATGGGCCATGTATCTTTTGATAAGATGAGTAGAATCTTTCCGGATGTTATGTGTGGGATAGGCAAGGGCAAGTTGACATGTGATGCTTGCGAATATGCCAAACACACACGAGCCTCATATGTGAGTAAGGGGCTTAGGAGCATATCTCCTTTTATGCTTATTCATTCGGATGTATGGAAGAGCCCAGTTGTATCAATGAATGGAATGAAATACTTTGTTACATTCATCGATTGCTATTCTCGTATGACTTGGATTTATTTGATGCTTCACAAAGATGAGGTGTTTAGCTGTTTTCAGAATTTCCATGCCTTGGTGAAGAATCAGTTTCAGGTGCAGGTGCAGGTGATCAGGACTGACAATGGGACAGAGTATGTGAACAACACATTTGGGGCTTACTTGTCTGATCACGGTATTCTTCATCAAACTTCATGCCCAGACACCCCTCCTCAGAATGGAGTGGCAGAAAGGAAAAATCGGCATATTCTTGAGGTTGCCCGGTCATTGATGTTTACGATGAATGTGCCCAAATTCTTGTGGAGTGAAGCAGTTATGACAGCCACATACTTGATCAACAGGACACCATCAAGAATACTAAGCATGAAATCTCCGTGTGAGCTAGTATATGGAGAAACTAAGTTTGTTGTTCCCCCAAAGTTGTTTGGCAGTACTTGTTTTGTTCGAGATCACCGTCCTTCTGTTGGAAAACTTGATCCGCGGGCAGTGAAGTGTATTTTTCTGGGCTATTCTTCTAGTCAGCAGGGGTATAAATGTTGGTGTCCCTCAGAGAAACGCAGGTTTGTCAGTATGGACGTAACCTTCAGGGAGTCTGAGCCATTCTATGGTGAGCCAACAGATCTAAGTGTGTTGTTTCAAGAGCTTGACCATTTCCACTCTGTGCAAGATGGTCAAGAGGGGGAGAAGGCTGTATCTCACACTCACGCGGATTCTGTGGGCACTAACATTGATGATGATGATGTGCAGGTTCAAGTCCAGCCAATTGTGGGTACAATTTCGGTTGGTACTCTCACTGATGGTGATGTGCAGGTACGGGTCCAACCAACCGTGGGTTCCATTCAGATTGGTAATCTCCAGCTCCCTGTTCGAGATCGGTGGCAGAAGATCCCCCTAGTGTACTCTCGGCGAGAGCCACAAGTGCCACAGGTGCATGACTCATCTGACACTCGTCTGGTATATTCTCGGCGGCAGCCACTTGTGCAGGAGGGGGAGCAACAAGTGCAGGGGGAGCAGTCAGTGCAGGGGGAGCAGCAAGGCAGTGGTGCAAGCTCATCTGACACAGTGGAGCTACCTATTGCGTTGCGAAAGGGGACACGTGAAGCGGCTGAGAAGGCTTTACCACTGGAGTGTTTGGATGATCATGACATTGGAAATTTTGTGTCTTATGAGGCTTTGTCTCCTTCCTATAGAGTGTTTGTTGCCTCTCTTCAAACTGTGTCAATCCCAAAGGATTGGAAGATTGCAAAGCAAGATCCGAAGTGGCATGAAGCAATGATAGAAGAGTTGGAAGCACTGAGGAAAAATAAGACGTGGGTGCTAACCACATTGCCGGCAGGAAAGAAAGCAGTGAGTTGTAAGTGGATCTATACAGTGAAGCAGAATCCTGAGGGGAAGGTGGAACGGTATAAGGCCAGATTGGTCGCCAGAGGATATAGTCAAACTTATGGAATTGACTATGACGAGACGTTTGCTCCAGTGGCAAAGATGAACACAGTAAGGATATTGGTTTCCTGTGCTGCAAACTTTGGGTGGAAATTGCATCAATTAGATGTCAAGAATGCCTTCTTGCATGGTGAGTTGCAGGAAGAAGTGTACATGGAGATACCACCAGGTTTTGGTACTTCACTGACAACGGGGAAGGTATGCAGGCTGAAGAAATCCTTGTATGGACTGAAGCAATCGCCGAGGGCTTGGTTTGATAGGTTCAGGCGTGCTGTCCGTGCTATGGGGTATGGTCAATGTAATGGTGATCACACGGTGTTCTACAGACACTCACTCTCTAATCGAAAGATCACCATTCTTGCAGTTTATGTGGACGACATTATCATCACCGGAGATGATGAGGAGGAAATAAAGAGATTGAAGGGGTGTCTGAGCAATGAGTTTGAGGTGAAGGATTTGGGCAACCTAAAATACTTCCTTGGGATTGAAGTGGCTCGGACAGAGAAGGGAATATCTTTGTGCCAAAGGAAATACACCTTGGATCTCTTGAGTGACATGGGCATGATGGGATGCCGTGCAGCCCCTACGCTGATTGAACAAAATCATCAAGTGACAGCTCAGTCAGGCGAGCTGGTGAATAAGGAAGATTATCAGAAACTGGTTGGGAGGTTATTGTACTTGTGTCATACCAGGCCTGACATTACGTATGCCGTGGGTGTGGTGAGCAGATACATGCATGAACCAAGGAGTGGGCATCTTGATATTGTGCACAGAATTCTGAGATACTTGAAGGGGACTCCAGGTAAAGGGTTGTGGTTTGCGAAGAGTGGATATCTTGAAGTGGATGGCTATAGTGACTCTGATTGGGCCAGTTGTCAAGATGATAGAAGATCAACTTCTGGCTACTGTGTGTTTGTGGGAGGAAACTTGGTGTCGTGGAGAAGCAAGAAACAACCTGTTGTGTCTAGATCAACAGCAGAAGCCGAGTATAGAGCTTTATCTCAAGGGTTATGTGAGATGCTCTGGGTGAAGTACCTACTGAGCGAGTTGAAACTTCTGAGGAAGGGACCCTTGAAGGTGTGGTGTGACAATCAGTCAGCTATAGCTATTGCTAATAACCCAGTTCAGCATGATAGGACAAAACATGTGGAAATTGATCGCTTCTTCATTAAGGAGAAACTTGATGCTGGTATCATCAGTCTTACTCACGTCAGCTCTGGGCAGCAGTTTGCAGATTGCTTGACAAAGGGACTGGGAACGAAGGACTGTAACTTGGCATGTGACAAGATGGGGATGATAGATATCTACCACCCATCTTGAGGGGGAGTGTTGAACCGGTATGGGCCCAAGCCCATCAAGCCTTGTCACTTAGGGCCCAAGCCCATGTGGAGGTACTGACCTAGAAGGAGGCATCCAGTCCTCCCGTTCTCAGGAGAGCCGCCACACACACATACGACACAGCCAAAACAAGGTGAGTCTGCGACACAACAATTGATAATACAGTTGCCTTCTATGGTGTAGCACCGAGCATGACTAGTATTCCGGTGCTTGCTGAGGAGGCTCAGTTGTGGGGTATGGTTAGGGCTCGAGGGCTCTAACAGCTCTTGTTTGGAGGGGTTAGGTTGGGTTTTGGCTGTCTTTCTGTTTTTCACAGGCGGGCATGTACGCTAACAACTAAGTGTGTGTGCATGTGTACTCGGGTTCTCTACCCCTTCCTTTTCTTCTCTAATACAAAGATACGCAGCTCTGCTGCCTGTTCGAGAAATAAATTATAATACAGCCGCCTTTACATATGGATAGCACATATCTGAATCTAGTTTTTCCATCTGAAGACGAGATCACTTCCTAGCTATCAAAGATAAGATTTTATCTGTAGCCATAATATCTTGCTAATCAAGATAACAAATTATTCTAAGCCTACCCAGCCAGCCCTAGTATTGCAGTTGCTGCTACCTAGATGTGTGAACTCCATGGGCCCTAGCTGGCTGGAGGTCCACTGCCATGTGCTGCTGCTGTCACTGTTCTGCCGCACTGTGCACTGTGCACATGACACTAGCCATCATTTAATGAGTTAATCTTCCGTTATCATTTTATTATAAGGGTTTAACACTGACTCAATGACATATTTTAGTACTTGAAGAGCATCTGTATCTATTTTCAGTGACTTGGCATATATTTTAATACCGCCTATGAAATCTCTATATGCATCCATTTATGTATTTAAAGAATGGTAAACGGTGTAATCATGCATTCTCAAAATGGAGTGATAAATGTTTACTGCCTGTCCATCAACTTTGTTACTTGTTTGTACTTTAGAACATGCAGCTCTGTGCTACCAGCCTGGATTCTGTTGTATTTTTACTCTTTGTTTCATTCAAACAGGGAGTCCCGTCTTTCAGTATGTACTATTCAATGTTCAAAGAGCAAATTGGTGATGCACCAGGTGCTCGTGCTCTTTTTGTTGAAGGAAGCAGTAATTCCACTTCAGATTTCTGCATGAATATTAATAGACTGGCCAACATGGAGAAACGCATGGTATACACCAGTTTTCTGTGCATTGGTGCTGGTTAGCTTCTTCATGAGAATATTATTCATTTACACTGTTCAACTGTTCGTAGGGAAATACCAAAGCAGCTACTGAGATATATGAGAATGCAATTCAGGATGCCATGCAAAAGCAGAACACTGAAGTACTACCGGACCTGTACACTAATTTTGCGCAATTCAAATATGCGGTAGGTAATATGGGACCTTCCACCGACATCAAGTATGATATGTACATCTTGTAGTATACAATATACTTTCTGCTAAGGCATCTTACAGGCATCAGGTGCTATCTGAAAATAATTGCAGATTTTGGGTTGTTCCTTTATCTGTGATGCTTTTCAAATTGCAGTGTACTGAAATTAAATCAGGATAGACAGTATCATTGTGAGTAGTAATATCTGTCTTAGAATTGTAAATATGGGTTTGTCAGGGTAGGATGGTCCCACATTGGGATTGCAGTGTGAGTTATACTAGCATCTAATGTTTAGGTTCAAACATAAAAATTTATGTGGGTCAACCTATCAAACATAGAGTCTTGTCCCTTAATTAGAGTGCTGGTTGACGAAGCAAGTTTGTTAGGAAAGAGTCCAGTGAGTTTAGAAATCGTATTAGAGTTTGAATAGACTTACGGCTTGTCGGTCAAGTCTTGTCTACTATATAAAGCGGCCGACCCCTCTCAGTAAAGCAGAGAGGAATATTATCTACTTTTATTTACTTTTCAGTAATTAGGGATTATGGTTATGTCAGTAGTAGATCTTTCCAATTTGGTATCAGAACCATCTACGATGGCGGGCAAAGAAATTGAGATCGAGGCTGTGAAGCAGATGAAGATCATCACGAGGCAATTGGAGGCCTTCACACACCAACGAGTGGAGGACCAGCCGCTCCTTGCCGAGCTGGTGCAGCGCTTGATGGTGCTCGAGCAACGGCTGCCAGCCCTCCGCCGTCACCAGATTCCGCGGCTGCAGCAGCCGCCCATGACACCACCTCCGGGTCCCAGGCCCTCCTCCCCAGCGACGACGCACCCCTGGTGCTTCCCCTCGCCAACAGTGCCTCCGGTGCCCCCTTCTCCAGCGGGGGAATTGCTGCCGGCGGACCTCTGCCCGTTGGGCAGATTGCCCCCCCCCCCTTCTTTCCTGCCCTCCACCGCCTACCTGTTGTCGTAACACAACCCTGTGCGGACTCCTGCCAACCACCACGGTGCTCCATCCCCCTTTTACCACCTCCAGCCATCTCCTTGCTCGCTGCAGCTGCCCCTAAACATCAATCTGGGCCACTTTGCACCCCCACCTTACAGCTCAAATTCCACCCCAATTTGCTGCCCCACCTACCAGTAGCAGCCCTACCATAAGCAGCTTTACCAGCAGCAGCCGCAGATCGCCGCCGCCTCTACCTGCAACCGATTTCATACGCTGTTATGGCCGGGAACCCTCCACAACCAATCTATGGATCCACCCCGCCCATCGCCTCCCTTCCGCCCTTGCCTGACCACCATCTCGGTTTAGGTTCGGGTTCCGGCGTTCCGCACTTCCAGAAGCTCGACTTCCCAACGTATGATGGCTCGGTCGATCCTCTTGGTTGGCTCAATAGGCGCGAGCACAGACGAGGCCGACAGCATCTGGACTGCAGCCTACCACTTCACCAATGATGCTCACTTCCGGTACTTACAGCTTGAGTGTGATTTTGACATCACCGACATGGTAGCAGTTGAAGGAGGCTTGCCACGTTCAGTTTGGGACCTCACTTCGCGCAAATCCCTTGTGCGAGTTGGTGTGTCTGCCATTCACTTCCTCGGTTGCCGACTACGCAGCAAGTTTCTAGCACTCATGTGCCACAACAATAAGCCATTAATACCGTCCCAATAACGGTTCTTGTGCACGGCAGGGCTGTCCAATGGTCTTCGCATTGACGTTGAACTTAAACGACCATCTGACCTCAAAACCACCATCTCCTTCACCAAGGCCCCTCCGATCCTCCTGCAGTTAACTCAACTCCAATATCTTCCCTGCCAGCACCACTTGCACCTGTTCTGCCGCCGACCACTCGAGAGCCAACTCCGCCATGGCAGGTTCGGCACCCCACCCAAGCTGAGTTGGCAGAATAATGTCGTCAAGGCCTTTGCTTCAACTGTGAAGAGATTTATGTTTGGGATCACCGGTGCGCATGACAAAGATAGCTCCACAACTGGTAGCACCCAAGGTTCTCTGGGGTGATACAATGTGAACCCTAGGGGTGGCCCGATCTTCATGAAATGGAGATGGATTTGAGGAAGAACGTGAAGAACACAAAAAATAAAGGAACACAAGGAAAAGAGGATAACTGAAGGCATAACACACTTGTAATCATAGATCCACACCACACTGTCAACGTGGTTTCTACAAATCCAAGGAAAAGCAAGAACAAGGTGGGAAGTTCTTCCCCAAGTCCTAAGATGAGGAGGGCTTGAATTCCACATGGGAAGGAGGTCTTGCACCCTTGCAGTCTTTACCTCTCAAGGTGGCCTTGTTCTCCATGAGGAGCCATCTCCACAATGGAGGAATCCCACTAGGGGAGGTAAATGAGCTAAGCTCTATCAATGAGTTCTATTCTTAACTAACCCTAGAGAGGAGGTGCGGGTGGAGTATTTATAGTCCAACAACGAAGGGGTAAGGGGAAACATATACATGGGCCTTTGGCCCGTTTACTGAGCATAGGCAGGCATGTCTGGGCAGTCCGGGGTGACTGGCCTGAACAGTCCGGGTGTAGCGGACGGAAGTGTAAGCGGGGTGCTATTGATGTCCACCTGTCCTGCCAGTGCTGTGCTTTGAGTTATATTTGGGCCTAGAGGGTCACGGAAGATGCAGCAAATAATTTAGTCATGTGTTATGCTCTCCTGACTAGAAGAGTGTATATTCGCCAGTTGATGTTTCTGCTTTTAGTTTGGACTGACATATGTTATGCTTAGACATAGCACATTTCTGCTTGTATTTTTGGCTGATTATGTCATGTTCTACAGGCAAGTCATAGCATTGGTGAAGCTAAAGAAGTCTTTGTCAAGGGAATAAAACAGGCACCCTGCAAACCATTGATTAAGGTGCATGTCTTTTTTTTCCTTTAGAAAACGGTGGGCTTTATTAACTTGGTGGCACAGACAAACCGCTGAGCATACTAGTTTATACGTTTGGAACCGAGTCAAGCCAAACATCAGTTGCATCTGGGTCCATATAAGCACCATTAGCAGCTAAGGTATCAGCTAATAAATTACACCCACAATTACAACAGACAACCTTGAAAACTATAATACTAGTAAGAAGGATAAACTTTGAATCCCTTAATATGACACCATGTCTTGACCAATCATGTTCGTTGCTTACCAACGCTAGCTTGAGGACAGTGGCATCAGTTTCGAGCACCACCCATCCCATTCCTGCATCAGAAGCAAATTGCAACGCATAAATACAAGCATGCATAGCATCGGCTAGATTAGATAAGCCTCCATACCCATTCCATGGACAGTGCCATTTATTCTTAATGAGCATAGTTTCATTTTTTATTCTTTCCTGTCTGGAAAGAGACCTGTGTAATACCTTCTGTGATCTTCCACTAGGGATTCATACAGTTCATGAGTACATACGGAGGATCTACAGAAATACCTCTGCTTGATTCTGTTATTGCTAATGCCGTGATTCCTGGATCTGGCGTATCAACAGCTTTAAGCCTTGAAGACCGTGAAGATATCTCGTTGTTGTTTCTAAAGGTTAGAGAGTTAATGGCAGTTTGCATTGTGTATCTTTTTGTGCATTTCTTTAGTACGTCTGCGTGTGTATCCTTTGCAGTTCGCGTGCTTGCAGTTTAATGCACACTGGCGTGCACACTCCATTTACATTCACTTTTCTAAGTGGATCGAATAATCATTTCTAAATGAGATTCTATCTCTTTCTTCTTGTTCTGCGCTTAATATTATGGGATTCAGTAATCTGAAGTATAAGTGAATTCAGTAAACATTGTGTTGGAGTCGTCTCACTACATCTTAAGTCACAGGTGGGCATCACTCAATGTGAATGTAGAAAACAGTATACATTGTAGTGCACTGGAACATAATATCCATTTGGCAGTACTATCCCTGAATTTCGATGGTATCTGCTTTTAACACCTGGACTGTGTTACCCCGTACAGCCATGCTGTCTGGCCAACCTGGCTATCTTCAGCATGGTTGTTATTCCGTTGTGAATTAACAACAAATAGTCAAACGGGGTTTGATATAAATTTTTCTGACACATTCTTTGCTTAAGATCATGAAAGAAATGCACTTTATTATTGGTAATGCATATATGCAGCCAATTTTTAGAAAGAAACATAACAAATGCTCTGAAACATTTCAAACTTTACTTGTTGATTACCTGCAGCTAGTTCATCACTATGATGATTTGTCTGACCTCTTATTTACTTATCATCAACTGATCATCTATCCATGCATGCCGTATGCTCCAAGCCTTCATTGTGAAGGTGAATTATTCATCCAGAATTGAGACATTGAAGTGGCTGAGAAGGGACGAGAAAATGCTCATGCCGATAGCAGGCCTGGGAGGCGGAAGACTTACATTGAAACTCCATTGTCACTTGATGGAGGATGAATGGCAGGGGAGCTGTGTCAGATTCTCTTATGTCATGCACGTGTGACATTTAGTTAAATCTTTGCTGTCATGCTGTAATGGTTTGAACTAACTGAAGCAGTGGCCTCATATTTGTTCTATTTTGTTAGCATGCTGAGGAAAAGTACTGGCATACAGTTCTTATTTCCCACACACAGAGGAAACTTAGATTCTTTCTTGTCCGTTATCTCCTGCATCGTTATATTGCTGGCTCAACTGGTTTCCTGCTTGCAGTTTGTTGACCTTTATGGGAGTGTCCAAGAACTCAGAAAGGCATGGGCTCGACACAGCAAACTTTTTCCTCACAACACAAGGAACCTGTCACAGCGGCACTGTACTACTGACTGTAACAAGAGGAGAATAACTGAATTTCTGAGGGTTGCTCATGACTGTTCTCCAGAAGGCAGAATCACATTAAAACAGTCATCTAAAAGTGAAACTTGTTCTTGGCAAGTTGATAAAGAAGTCGGTTCGCAAGTGGATATGGATGCTGTCAATTCAGGAGGACAGGGATATGATGATGAGCAGAACACCGGGACAGTTGATGCGCAACAGGAGGTTGGCGATACAGCTCACGGCCAACACAGCTTGGACAAGTATGGAATTCAAAGCCAAATGTTTTCACATGCTAACCAAGATATCAGTCATGATTTAACTGTATGCGAGCAAATTGACCAGACAACAATATGTCAGGCTTCGGTAAGTGAGAAAGCCGCTCAAGCTGAATCATGCAATCATGATTCTCCTTCAAATTCAATTGCTGATCCCAAGCAGATTGATGTTCAGGACAAGATTAAGGCCATTGAGCTAAATGCAGTTGATCATCATCCAGGAGCAGTATGCTCAAGATCTGAACCATCATCTGGGACAAGCTTACTCAAAGGAAGTCCGTCCGGTCCAACTCCAATATTTTTAGAATTAGAGAATAAGCAACTTGAGAAAATCCAGGTAAAGCTGGAAACAGAGCATGATGTGTCTGTCAGTAATGCAAAGCCAGAGAGCTCTAGTGATAATCCAGAAGCAACTCAATGTGGTACGGAAGTCTCTGCACTCAGTCAAGACCATATTCAGTCTTCACAGACACAAGATCTGTCAGTCGGCGCAAAACCTTCCAGCTCAGAAATGGCAACAACACAAATTACCACGTGCTCTCAGTTTTCTCCTGACAATGCAGTGACTGCTCAAGCTCCCCTTCAGCACCACATGGATAATTCTCAAACGTACCAATCCATTAACCCTTTTCTAGCTGGACAAAACATGCAGCAGATGCAGCAGCAAGGACCTGCTTATGCAATTTCTCAGAATGTTCATACATCCCCACATTCTCAAGTTCACCTCGTCGCACAACCGAACCAGGGAAACCAACAGTACATGGAAATGATGCAAGGGTATGCATCCCAGATGTGGCAATATTACCAGCAACAGCTGTATCACCTGCAGACTCAGCATAATCAGCAGATACAGAGTTTGCAACAGCAGCAGCTTCCAACCGAGCATCTCCAGCAAAGCTTTACGCAACAGGTACAACAACTAAACCAACAAATGGTACTTTGGCAGCAACAGGTCCAGCAGCAGCAACAACAACAACAACATGCACAACAAGTTCAGCAACAGTCTGACAAAACACAGGGTGAGTATCACTCAGGGGATACTAAAGGTGAACAAAATAAACATCAGCAACAAGAATCTGGAATTGATCAAAGCCAGCAGTTCCAGCAGCAGCAGCAACTGCTTTATTTCCAGCAGCAGCAGCAGATGTACTTTATACAGCAGCAACAGCAAATGTACCAACAACAACAACAGCAACAGCAGCAGTTAATGCAGCAGCAACAGTATCTTTCGCAGATGCCGCAGCAGAAACAAGACATGGAACAACAGCAGGAGCTCTTTCAGCAGCAACAGCAGCAGCTTTATGATCAACAACAGAAGCAGATGGTAGTTCTGCAGCAGCAGCAGCAAGAGTTTGCCCAACAACAGATGCAGCAGTACCTGCAACAGCAAGCAAACCAACAAGTGTTCAAGGATCAGAATGGCGAGCTAAATCACCAGGTAGCTATCCTGCTGTACTTGATTCTGATAAAAGAAGGGTAGGAGTCGGTGTGTTAACTTGAGTTGCTCTGCATTATGTTCCCTACACTATTTGAAGTCAGTGTGACTAATTCAGAACTTCAGGCTACTGTCCATTATGTTACAGAAGATATTTTAGTACTAGTGAATACCAAGTTCAGCTCTGTGTCCACTCTTGCTGTACGTTAAGCTCACATCAACACGTCATAAAATCCAGCTCGCCTTATTTCCCGACATATATTTTTGGTAATTCATGATATGTGACATCACACAGTAGAATCAATATTGAATATTTGCCATTGTCTTCTAGAGGAAACTGTGGCACAACGAACTTGGTATTTAAACATGTTAAGTTTCATTTGCCAACTGTGTCGTCTCTGAGCATTTCTGTATCTCTTCAGGATGCAAGGAAGAGGCAGCTGGAGCATGGTCAACAATCTGAAGCATCACAGGTGACATTCAATATCAACGCACTTGGATGTTTTAAATCAGTTTTGAAGCATGTTTTGTCCTTAAAGCAACACAGGTCTTTGCTTGGGTCTTAAATTTGCCTCGGTCCTAATTTACTTGTCTCCCGCAGAGTGATGTTTCCAAATTGCGGAGTGATGAGCAATCTGAGTTGTCCTACCCATCGACTCCACAGTCCCAACGTTCTAGTCATTGAAGTAATCCATGTAGGTTCCAAGCCAAGGATCTATGAAATTCCAAGTGATTGATCTAACCATTCGACACTTCGATCCATCAAAGCATTTTGGAAAAGGGACGTTTCATCTGTTCCATGCCCTAACAGTATGCCGTGTCTGAGTGGTGATGCTGAGCTTCCCCTTTCCCCTGGTGCAGAAGCTTGAATGCGCGTGATTGCGGTTGCTCAATCTAACACATTGAATGTTGGTGTCATCCTATAGCATTTTGTGCCTTCTTCGAGAGCAAAGGCCAAAATATGAAAAACTTGCTTAAGTCATGAGGAATGTCGGCTGTGACTGACAGCTCGCCGTGGTTCATAGAGCGTTTCTGCTGAAATTTAATTATTATATAGCTGTAAACTTTTTGTAGCTGTAAACTTTGAGAGCAAAGGCCAAAATATGACCGATTGTGTTTAATTATTATATAGCTGTAAACTTTTTGTAGAATATAAGTAGTATTTTCCATGCATGTTGCGAGAAATAAAAGTAGGAGGATTCACTATAAAGTCAGAAGTGTGGATGTTGATAGAACTAGCACAAATGCCAGTGCATTGAACGGGAAAGAAAGTTAACGTATCCATTAAATCGTTCATCAGCGTGTTATGACAACATCTGCATAGTGACACCCGACGACAACAGTTGCTCGCGTGGGTAGGAGTATATATTAGTCCAACATTGTCTGTTTCTTACCGGTCCATGAATAAAAAACTTACAGCAGCAAATCTTTTTTTCTTGAGACCCTCAATCCGACACATGAATTTTTTTCGGGAAAAACTTCCGATCAATTTATCATCTTTCAAGACAGTACAAAGAACGCCAGAAGTAAAAATTATATCCAGATCTATAGATCACCTAGCGACGACTACAAACACTGGAGCGACCCGAAGTCATGTCGTTGTCATCGCCAGAGTCAGGCAAACCTTGTGTAATAGACAGTCGGGCAAACCTTGTTGTACTAGACAGCCGAGCAAGCTGTCATCGTCACTCCCTCATTGGAATATGACATGTGAGTTGAGATTGAATTATTGTGGTCCTCCAGCCTGACATTTCTCCTATCTCCACTTTTCCAAACCTGGATCTAGGTCAGGATTCACAGCAAAGACCATCATAGATCCACAAGACTCGACTGGCTCTCCAAGACCAGTGTTTGGTGTGAGGCTGAAGAAAATCAATCTTCAACCAGTTCCGGTCATGTCAAAGATTGGCAGAAGCCTCAGACGACCCCAATTCGGTAATGCCATATTCTTCGAAGAGAAGAATTTCTTCATTGGCGAGTCACTATATAACTCAGCCAAGATTAGGCGTCTGCGCTTCTTGACCAAGATGAAAATGAACCACTATGCTTCATTGCCGTTTGAGAAGAGCAAGATCTTCCCGCATCGTCACATTCCTCATGTGGCATGGAAACCATTCCATGCTTCCGGCCAGTTTTGGCTGTTCTTCACGATGCTGGGCTGCTTAGCTTCTGTTTAGATATTTGCGATTGGAATGAAGAACTCATTCTTCAGTTCTATACAACAGTGCACTTCTCAGGAAATGCTGATGACATTGTGACATGGGCTTTGGACTCGATGAGTGAAGACACTCACTACAAGGCACCAGTTGATGAACTACTTCATGCTCTTCTAGTAGATCCACCCCTTGAAGAAGCAAAGAAGATCTATGAAAACCTGAACTTCCACATCATTTTATGCAAGTACTGATGAAGCCATTGTGGCGGTGTCCTGTATTAGGGGGTACTAACTTGGTCGGCCCATACTCCTCAGATTGGGTTGATGGGCCCTCATTCTTATCAAGATGGACTTCGGAAGCTGCATGATGGGCGTGCTTGCTACTTGTGAGCTGCGTTGGGATTTCCTCGAAGAGGAGAGGATGATGCAGTATAGTAGAGATAAGTATATTCCTCAGTTAAGAACCAAGGTTATCAATCGAGTAGGAGAACCATGCAACACCTCGTTAGCAGTACCTACACATAAAATAACAAATTCTTGCACCCAACGCGAACAAGGGGTTGTCAATCCCTCGGTGCTTACTTGCAAGATTAAATTATATGGTGATAGATAGATAATTAAAGCACAAAATAAAATAAATAAAGAAAAATTGCAGCAAGGTATTTTGATTTTAATATATGATAAAAAGTGACCCGGGGCCATAGTTTTCACTAGAGGCTTCTCTCTTGAAAATAGCATAGGATGGGTAAACAAATTACTGTTGGACAATTGATAAAAAACAAATAATCATGACGATATCCAAGGCAATGATCACGTATATAGGCATCACATTTGAGACAAGTAGACTGAACCGATTCTGCATCTACTACTATTACTACACACATCGACCGCTATCCAACATGCATCTAGAGTATTAAGTTCATAAAGAACGGAGTAACGCCTTAAGCAAGATGACATGATGTAGATAAAGTAAACTCACGCATGAATAAAACTCATCTTTTTATCCTTAATGGCAATGATACAAATATGTGTCATATCCCCTTCTGTCACTGGGATAGAGTATCGCAAGATCGAACCCATCACAAAGCACATCTCCCATTGCAAGAAAAATCAATCTAGTTGGCCAAACCAAATCAATAGATCGGAGAGAAATACAAAGCTATAACAATCATGCATAAAAGAGTTCATAGAAAACTCAAATAATATTCATGGATAATCTGATCATAAACTCACAATTCATCAAATCCCAACAAACACACCGCAAAAAGTCATTACATCGAATAGATCTCCAAGAACATCAAGGAGAATATTGTATTGAAAATCAAAGAGAGAGAAGAAGCTATCTACCTACTAGCTATGGACCGGTAGGTCTGTGGTAAATTACTCACACATCATCGGAAGGGCAGCAAGGTTGATGTAGAGCCCCTCCGTGATCGATTCCTCCTGGTAGAGTATTGGAGAAGGCCTCTAGATGGGATCTCGAGAGAACAGAAACTTGCGGGTGGCGAAAAAAGTATTTCAGGTGGATCTCTGATGTCAGGGGAATATTTCAGAATTTATAGAGGCGGAATTAGGTCAAGAGGTGCTACGAGGGGCCCACAAGCCTGGGGCGCGCCTCCCGAGCTTGTCGCTCCCTCGTGGCTCTTCAGGTCTTCTTCCGAACCTTCTAGGGTCTCTTATGGTTCAGAAAAAAATAATCCAAAGTTTTTTCTCTGTTCGGACTCTGTTTGATATTGATTTCCTAAAAAGCAAAAAACAGGCAAAAAACAGCAACTGGCACTAGGTTAATAGGTTATCCCAAAAATGATATATAATTGCATATAAAACATCAAAGATTGATACTATAATAGCATGGAACAATCAAAAAATACAAATACGTTGGAGACGTATCAGTGATCAGGATTGCATCTGCCGAAGGCTTGACGTATACTCCAAGACTTCTCCTGCCGCCTCCACGTCAAGATACCGACCTTGTTGTTAGAGTACTACATATATAGCCATGTAACATTTTGTATTTACCCCATTGTATAAGGGGTTTTCTGCATATTTCCTGCACTTGTACGTGTATATATGCTGGCCTATGGCCCCATGGGAATACAAGTTGCATATTTCCTAACATGGTATTAGAGCTAGGTCATTTTTTTTGCACGTCGCAACTTGTGCTGTTGATCCCATCCATGGCCGCCGCTGCTTCTATCCCTTGCCGCCGGCTCTCCACCTCTAATCCTCTCTCCTGCAGGTCCAGCTGGCCTGCTCTTTCCTTCGCCCCGCCTGCCAGACCACCGTGTGCTGTCTCCTCCGATCCAGTCAACATCGCCCCATTGCTGCAGGACCATCCGCCCGCTCGCCAGTCCGTCCGCCCGCTCGCCAGCCCAGATCGAGCCGAGCGCGGACCTCTCGCCTGGATCGCTGGATCGCGAGCACTGTAACACCCAAGATGCGGATATATCTCCCACGTGTCGAGGCACGACTTAGAGGCATAACCGCATGTTGGTTTTGTCGCAAGAAGGGTCATCTTCACACAATCCCATGTAATGAACAAGAAATGGATAAATAGATAGTTGGCTTACAATCGCCACGTCACACAAAGGAACAAACAATTCATCCATCATTCAAAGTACACACATAGTCTGACTACGGACAAATCCAAATGAAAAGAAGACAACCCCAAATGTTAGATCCTCGATCGTCCTAACTAGGCTCCATTACTGATCATCAGGAAACGACACATAGTAACGACCAAGGTCCTCGTCGAACCCCCACTTGATCTCGGTAGCATCACCTGCGCTGGTATCATCGGCACCTGCAACTATTTTGGTAGTATCTGTGAGTCACGCGGACTCAGCAATCTCAAAACCCGTGAGATCAAGACTATTTAAGCTTATGGGTAGGATGAGGTAATGAGGTGGAGTTGCAGCAAGCACTAAGCAAATATGGTGGCTAACATACGAGTACAAGAGTAAGAAGAGAAACTACGCAAGGAACATGAAGCTAGAAGTGATCAAGAAGTGATCCTGAACTACTTACGTTCATACATAACCCAACCGTGTTCACTTCCCGAACCCCGTCGAACAGATACCATCACGGTTACACACGTGGTTGATGCATTTTAATTAAGTCAAGTGTCAAGTTCTCTACAACCGGATATTAACAAATTCCCATCTACCACATAACCACGGGCACGGCTCTCGAAAGTTTATACTCTGTAGGGGTGTCCCAACTTATCCCATCACAAGCTCTCACGATCAACGAAGGATATTCCTTCTCCCAGAAAGACCCGATCAGTCTCGGAATCCCGGTTACAAGACATTTCGACAATGGTAAAATAAGACCAGCAAGACCGCCCGATGTGCCGACAAATTCTGATAGGAGTCGCACGTATCTCGTTCTCAGGGCACACCGGATGGGCAAGACGTCGGGTTAGCTGAGACCCTGGTTGCCCAGAGGGCACCATACATCGCCCAAGTTGGACCAGCACTCAGAGGAACACTGGCCTAGGGGGGTTGAATAAAGATGATCCTCGGGTTAAT